AATTGAGATGCTTAAAGATTTGAAAGAAATAAAGAAAAGCCTTGGTGAAAAAGGTTGCACAAGTGGTGTTCAAATTTGAAAGACAAGGTTGATTCAACTGGTACAGAACATGTTGAGATAATGGTTGAGACTAATAATTGTGAAACAATTGTTTGTGTAGTTAAGAGAAAAGCTACAGTCGGACATCCACGCGGTCGACTTAAGGATCCGCTTGAACAAAAAAAGTCTAAGTCGACATCCAAGAGTAAAAAAACTCCTGCAAGGCGACAAATAGCTATGGAGGTATTGTGCATGTACGAAGTGATTAATGTGTTATCTTGCAAATGTAATTTTTTTTGGTCAAAATTTTTTGTAGGAATTTACTTGCACAGGTGAAAGTTGACAAACACTCCAGGGTGTAGGACATGAGGCTTATTTATTTGATAGCTTGTCTCAAGTAAGGACTTTTAACTCTTTTAATTCTAATAAAGTTATATCAAAATTTAATTTCTAGACATAAGAGTTGAGTTTGAGAATTCAAACTTACTCTTTAAAGATAAATGTAGGGATATGTCAATGTTGGTACTAGTTCAGAACAACATTTTCAAGTTACATATGGAATTTAGTGCACCAATGTATTGCCTTAATTTGAAAGAATTTTTAGCTTGTCAACTTCTTTATCTCGTTTTGATTTTCTAATATATTAATTTCAACACTCATTTTTTCTCTTTTGCCTCTCATAGGATATACCAAAGGAAACCAAGTTTTCATTTTTATATTCTGGAAGTTTGGACGAGATTACATGTTGGCAACAAAATATATCTTTCGCTCAACTGCTTAATGTAAGTATTACATATAAGACAACTATAATACATACAAACAAATATGGATGTGTAGAAAATGTTGATCCTATTACATATTTAGCCGATTGACTTTTTGTTTGTAGGAATCAACAACAAATTTTCATGCCTTTTCACAAGACGAAGGTGCCAAACAAAATAGAAATTGAGCAGGATTTTCATTTGTAGATTTTTTGTAAAATGGAAAATTGGAGGTGTGGAGTATCCACCTATTATTTTGGCGTCTTCCAACATGAAGAAAAAATTGAAGATATTTCTTTTTGTTTCTGGCAAATTTTGTGCAGTAAGGAAAGTTGAAGTGGAGGTTGCACCATTTTCCTTTTGAATTGTACTCTCTGAAGCAGCCAAGTTTTGTCTTATTTTTAATTGTTTTATTTGGAAGGTGTGATTAGTAAAAAGTTGGTTGCAAATTTGCAACGATAAGTTACCGCGAGCCGCGAACCACTCTAATAAAAATCAACCGTCCTCCTACAATTCAACTTTCTCTCTCTCCCTCTCTAAAATCCCCTGACAGAATTCGATTCATTATCGAACAACTGAAAACAGAGCTTCATCGTCTTCATCCAAACCTCAGATTCGCACGCGCAACCCAAGCACCCCCACTCACACAAAGTCAGGGATACATGGCTTCTTCTACCTTCAGCGGCGACGAAACCGCTCCCTTCTTCGGCTTCCTCGGCGCCGCCGCAGCCCTCGTCTTCTCCTGTAATCTCATTTGATTTCTTCAAAGCTTTTCAATTTCGTTTATTTTCCTCAAAGTTTTGATCTTTCGATTCGAATTTCTCATGATTTCGCAGGCATGGGCGCCGCCTATGGGACGGCGAAGAGCGGCGTGGGCGTGGCCTCCATGGGAGTGATGCGGCCGGAGCTCGTGATGAAATCGATCGTTCCGGTGGTTATGGCTGGTGTGCTCGGGATCTATGGGCTTATCATAGCTGTGATTATTAGTACCGGGATCAACCCAAAGGCCAAATCTTATTATCTGTTTGATGGGTATGCTCACTTGTCATCTGGCCTTGCTTGCGGTCTGGCCGGCCTCTCCGCCGGAATGGCGATTGGGATCGTCGGTGACGCCGGTGTCCGGTAACCCTTTCACTCTTGGTTCTTAATTCTTGTTTGTTTCGTAGTTTTAAGCGGGATTTGACTACACCCATTTTGTTTGGTTGTTCTTGTTAGTCATAATTGTAAGATTATGTTGTAATTAGTTTTTAGATGTAATTGAAGAGAAAATTTGGGTGAAAGAAAGACATTAATGCTTGAGGATTAAGGGTGTGTTTTGGAGTGCCAACAAAGCTTTTGAATGTAAAAGTTTGGGAGCTTTTGGGTGAAATCAGAAAATAGTTCGATAAGGGCTGCTAGATGGATACCGAGAAGCACTCGGGCTTTAAATGAAAGCTCTTCTGTGTGTCGTATGAAAGTGGCATTAATCGAGATACTACAAGGGGAGGCCCAGAGGTGGTAGATTTTTTGTGTGCCAATTGTTAGAAAAAGTCGGTGGTTATTTGTTTGCGTAATGTGGAATGTAGATATGTGGTAATCATGCAGAAACATGTTTTTATTGAGTATTGGGTACTTTGATAAGACTCAACGTATTCACATTTAGTTCCAAGGAAATAGGTGAATGCAGTTCGGTTGCATTTAGTGTTATTTCTGCATTTTAATTTTGTGTTTGCACTCAAGTGTGAGGCTGTCTGGTTAAAGGGCCATTCTTCCTGTGAAAGCTAGGGGCTACGTGATGCGATTGTTATTCGAATTGCAAACTTTGAGTTATATGTTGACGCGTCAAAAGGCTCAAAACAATAATCGCAGCAGCACCAGCAGGGAATTGAAAAACACTTGGTTGAGAAGATCCCAGTTTTTGTTGTCTAGACAATTGTCTCATTGTCAATAAAGTTGGTCATTGTTTGGATTCTCTGCTTTCAAAAGCTCTGTTCCTTTTTAGTTCAGTTGTTTTTGCACGCGATTGAATTTTTACTCCCTTTTTCTCATGATATTTTTCAAAGGTACAAGGTTACAACATCCGCTCTTGTATAGAAGAATCATAACATGTCAAGTGGATGATATTTTTCTTCATATTTTGTTTTGGATTTTTTTTTCAGGGCTAATGCACAGCAGCCAAAGCTCTTTGTTGGTATGATTCTTATCCTCATCTTTGCTGAAGCTCTTGCCTTGTACGGTCTGATCGTGGGGATCATCCTCTCATCCCGATCAGGGCAATCTCGCGCGGATTAAGGCAGTCAAGTTTGTTGCTCCTCTATATTATTTGAAGATCGTATTATTTCGATTCCTTTAAGATGGTGCTATCACTATAAAACTTGGTTAATTTTTAGTTAGAAGTACATTATTTAAACTGCACCATGCTTGTAGTTATGAAGAAACAATTGTTCCGAATGTTAATTTTCTCCTTCCTCATATAAGGACAGATTAGTTAATGAAAACTTCACCCTGCTGAAGACGTTTGGTGTTTTTCGATATTTTGCTTTTGTAAGTGGCTAATTGAATAGTTGTTTGCTCAAGGATCCTTGGCAAAAGTTTCAGTATATGATATTCCTGGAGCAATGGATGTGGTCAGTCAATGACCCGATGGCCTAAGGATCCCTCAGCGCATACTAGAAAATCTAAAGATCTGACGTTCGATTCTCGCCAAAGGTGAATTTGGATTATATTATTGCTAACTCATTTTGAAGTTTAGTCCACTCCTCTATCCCTTAGTGTAAATAATATCATTTGTTTAAAAAATAAAATGAAAAATAAAATGAAAAAAAAAAAAAAAAAGGGATAAAAAACAGGATGAGATGAAGGGACGAAACATTCTTGAGATGAAGGTGGTCGATTATTTTTGCACGTATCGACAATGAAATTAGTAGTCTGCGCATGCTCTGCTGTTTGCACTCTCTGAGGCTTACACTGATATTCTGGGATCTTAAACCCATAGAATGGACGGATTAATTAACGAGATCTTGTTCGTTGCGATCAATCTTAATCCCTGATTACGTGAGTTATCACAGGTGTTTTGTTTTTCTCAACTCACCCCACCATAATGAAAAAAGTTCAACGTAAAGTAATTCAAATGTTCATTGTCACTAGTACTATGATATATTTACACTAAGATTCGAGATTTGAACCTAAGTGTAGATAAGTATCACTAGATCGTAGTATTAAGTGTCTTTTCTTCATTATTGTTAAGCAAGAAAATATTCTACTTGTAAGTGAAAGATTCAAAGTTTAACTTTTGTGAATGATGAATTTAAGATCATATTACTATTACGTTCCGTTATATTTAATGATGAAACCAGTAATTATCGGAAGGAGATGCGAAACTTAAAAGGGTAAAAATCCCAACTTATTTCATTTGAGCTCTTCCGCTTAACTTCCAAAACCAAGAAAGACAACAGCTTATTTCATTACCATGGAAGTAGTCGGCATCTTGTGACCGACGAAAAACTCACATTCCTCTAAACAACACATATCAAGTACCAGCTAACTATCTCTTTCTCTAATTCGTTATGTTGTAAAGCATCTTGTGATTGGCAATCGAAGTACTTACGTTACTAAAACTACACAAATCGTAAACAAGGAATTTACTTTTCATGAAGAGTGCTTAACCAAACACAAGGGCGAACAAAATTCAAGTAAACAATGGAATGTGGATGTACAACCTATTAGCTTATCAAATTCAACCCAACAACAACAACAAAAATACTTTATTCCGTTAAATGAGATCGGCTAAAATTCAATCCAACTAAATCAACAGAAATACAACCGACTAAAATTTAACCATGAAAGTCATACATTTCAACATGGACATTTTAATGAAAAAGATTAAACCCACCGTCTTAGGAAAAAAATAATAATTTTTGTGTTGGTTAGTCCAAATCCCCAATGATAAATGTAGGATCAATGATATTCTTTTTCATTTGTAAGTGAAATGTTTTATATTTGATTTTCGTCAAAGGAGAATTTGAAACACATTATTGCGAGCCCATTGTTAGGCTTAGTTCATTCTCCCACTCTTAGTGTAGATAACTAGATAATATCATTTGTTAAAAGAAAAAAAAAAAAATTCTTTCACCCAAGCGAAAATTAATAAGAAGGCATTAATCACGTGCCAGCAGCGTGTTCAAGAGTTTTCAGGCATTTTGGTATTTATATGAAAGAGAGCAGACATAGAGGACGACACACGGACACACGGACACACGGACACACGGCAGAAGGATAAATTGAGAAAATGGCAGCACCACCAGCAGCGGCGGCGGGTTCATCGGAGGCAGAGGGTCCGAAGATAGTGTGGAATTCAGGGAAGCGGAGGTTCGAGACGGAGGACCATGAGGCGTACATCGAGTACGTGCTGAGGGAGAAGGGGAAAGTGATGGACTTGGTCCACACCTTCGTCCCTTCTTCCAAGAGAGGCTTGGGTCTGGCTTCTCTCCTCTGCGTCGCCGCCTTCAACCACGCCAAGTCCCACTCCCTCTCCGTCATCCCCACCTGCTCCTACGTCTCTGTAAGTCTCCACCTCTCTCTCTCCCCAATTCCTCTTACTGGGGTTGTCTCAATTTTAAATTTTTATCGCATCAAGTATCCGTTTTTTTCATTTTTTTTCGGATTGATTTCTGGGTGTTAATGATTAATTCATAAGAATTGGAAAGCTGGGAATTTGGCATATTCCCAAGCCAAATGAAGAAGTGTGATTTCTTTTAGGGAATTGGGAGCACGATCATAAACGATGTCAATATTAAAATTTAAAATAAAATAAATTGAAGAGCTATATATTGAGATGAAGGCACTCAAAACTCTAGAATTGTACAAAACATGTAATTATTTGTGCCGATTATGTTTTGTCTAAATGTTGAATTTATGCGTTTATTTGTTCTTATGTTATTGTTTGTAATCAACTGCTAAGATTAGAACTAGCTCGTAGGCTATATGAATGAAATATGTTATAGCAGCTATGTGTCTTAAGTTGTACACGTGCTGTGCGCGTGAGTTGAGTCATGTTATAGGCGTGAGTGGGTTTGCAACGGTCGTCTTGTTCATTCCTATTTGCTGAGTAATGGATCCAAGACGAGCAATGTATTTCCATCTTCTCTTCATTGATCAGCTACATAAATGTAGCAAATACCACCGCAAACACTTTGATGATTAATCAAAATGTTGACTATTTATACGAATATAACATGAATATAACATAAACTTACATAAAGTACCTTAATATTTTTGGTGCCCCGGATGGTTGCCCTGCACGCGATTTGTATACTAGCAATCGGTGCCTTGGCAACGCTTTCTTTTTTTTCTCATCATCCTTTTTTTTCTCCCAAGTAAAGGGGTTTTTTGGTACAACTGCGTGTATATGACCCTAGAAAAAAATAAAAAAATTACGTTATTTACATCAAAAGTATCTCACTCATCATGTGACAACGAGGGATGAGAAAGGTACTAAGAGGGTTAGTGTAGGATTTACTTTTGAGATCATAAAAGAATTGTGGGTATTCTCCTTGTGTTATTTTACAAGGTTGATATATGCTTACTGTTTTTTATGGATTTGGCAGGACACTTTTCTCCCACGGAACCCATCCTGGAATTCTCATGTGTACTCAGCAGCACCCGGAGAGATGAAGTCGAGCATTTAAATAACTAGTTTACTTGTAGCTGTAGCTAATGAAGAAGATGTTTGTTTTGTAAGCGTACAGGGCTGGCACTTCTCCTTCAACCGCAACAAGTTTCTGCGCTCTAGTACTTTCAATAACAGATTTTATGAATAAAACATTCACTTCTTTTGCTGTGGTGGTGGTGGTGGTGGTGTTGTGGTTAACTATGATAACATTACTGGACTCCTGGTTAGGCCATCTCAACCGAAAGGGTTAAGCATAGCCCCGTTTAGAATTGTAGTCCTAGAAGAATTATTTTTAAATGCAATGTTAGGCCATACTCATGTACCGTCTCAATGATTTATTGGTTTTAAGTTTATACTTTAAATTTATTGGATAATTTAGTTAAACTACTGTTGGATGTTTTCAAATCTAGCCGTTGATTTTGGATTAATTATTGCAACTAGGGAGCTGGACCCCAAAAAAAGGGCTAACAGGAATGCTACATTTAGCCAGTTTGATGTCTCTTTAGTCAAATAATAGCCTGGGTTCAATAGAATTATAGGTAGATGAGTTTTTAGACAAATTAGATCATTTTTTGGCTTTTGAACCTTAGCCCTCTCCATTAGAGATGGCCTTATCATGAATTCATGTACTTAGTACAATCACCCATTAACGGCGGTTAGATACATGTTGTAATGACATCCAATGCCACCACCTGACCGTCAATGAGTGACAAAAATCCTGAACGTCTAAGCTCAAATAACCAAAACTATTTGTCTAAAACAACAAAGTGCTTTTGGATCGGATTCTAAAAGCACTTTGCAGTGCTGTATAAGATTTTGTTATGCTTATAATAAAAACACATAAATGAGCAAAAGCGCTTCCAACCTAGTATATTCCCAAGCGCCCCTGCGCTAAAATGAAAAGATACGAACAGAATTACACTGGAAGAGTACTTCACTTATTCATCGTTTCCATTTATATCAACAGATTTCAACAAACCCAATTCGACATAACTATATGTTTTGGTACATCAAATTTCGGTAATACAGACTGCAGTTAACGCCAGAAGCGAAAACAAGAATACAACTCATATTCGGCATAACTTTTATGTTTCGGTACATAAAATTCCAACAAGACAGTACCAGAAGCAAAAAAGCAAGAGCACACACTGGGAACATGTTTGATGCCGTCGCGCTTCAATTCAACATTGTAAAAGAAATTGGAAGTGTCCTTATAAGCTTATGACTATACAATGTATGTACATAGCAGATACTCTTTTGTTAAGGCATCAGCCTGGTACAAAATAATCCATCTTCTCCACCGGCAGATTCAGAAATGATGTCTCTACCTACATCACAAACGAAACAAATACCAACAATTTCACAGAAAAAAAGTAAGAAATCACAACAATATATCTTGTGAACATTTCTTTGCTATCAGTAGGGGAATCATATAAACTTTTCTAGATCGGACAAGAAGAAAATAGACTCAATGATTGTAAGAAAACACCAAACCGAGAACTTCAACAACTAATCACAAAAGCCTTTTACATGAGAAGGGACTTGGTTACTGAAAGTAAAGTGAAAAGGAGGAAACACATGTACCTCCTCAAAAGGAACAAAGACAAAAGGTGTTAGACCCCTCTTGTGCGAGACAGCCGGCACATCTGGGTTGTGAGTCTCATCGTCCTGCCAACCTTCAACCACCCCGAGGATATCCTCATCAGGGCCGCCAACCTCATTATTGTTTACACCACTTGTAACAAGTGACAGTAAATCCATCCTATTGTTTGCTCCTGTTGTTGTTCCTCTTAACCTAGATAAGAAGCAGGCAAGTTAGAAACTATGCAAAAAATAAAGACTCCCATTCCGCACAATTTCAAAGCCTTAACTAGATACTTCACGGAAAAAAAAGCCCACAAATACATATCCCTTTTGGCTGCAAAAACAGAAGATGTTATGTAATATGATAAACATGCCTTCGTTAAAAATCCATTTAAATTACCAGCTTGCATTTCCCGATGACATAATGCAGTCCACCGTGTTCATAATAATAGCTTAGAATCTTAATGAAAGATATTCAGGCTATGCAAGCAGTTGCAATACCTTAGTCGGATTCTCAACACAGTAGGACGCATTCCTGGATACAGAACAGCAGCTTCAACCTGCAATGAAAGAGAGAAGAAAAATTTAAGATGCAAACTAAACAAGGTAGAAGAGTAGTTGAGTATGTGTGCTTAGTAAACACTCCACTAAAATCAATAACTGTTTAAATTAAATTACATCCAAAACTTAAAGAATACTTTAACTGATTTGAAGAAACATAACCTAACCTTATCATCTGACAAAGTGTAATGGCCACTGAAAACACAGTCTGCCCTGGCTCCACGGAAGTTCATGAACTTCGCTACATCCTTGAGTTTTTGAGATGAATTCTGATAGTGCAGAGAAGAAAAGAAAATAGGGCCAATCAGATCTGTATAATTATTGTTAATAAAAAAATTTATTATGAAATCTTCAGATAATTCCAACCTTGTAGAGAAATCGGCCAGAAGGAAACAATCGCATGTAACGGTAATAGCACACCTGCAAAAGAAAAGCAATGATTCCAAACTGCTGGAAATAATTACACAAAAAGACCACTTTGCAACTACTTTTGTTTGAATATACGATTTCCCAATCAACGCATGATAATAAGCATTAAGGCAGCTACACTTCCATAGTCTCAACTAGGTTTTAAGTACTTGGATGACATATACGCATCCACAATGGGAATCATTTTCAAGGATGTATGATCAAGTCATGCCTTTAACAGGGAGTGGGGCTGGGTTATTTAGAATCGGAAAGTGAAAACTCCCTTTCTAACATTGTAGCATTGTAAGACACAGGACTAATAGGCATCTGATAAACCTAAAAAGAATAATATGCATACCAAGTGAACTGGGTTATTGATCTTCCATTCTGCAATTCCAGCACGGATATAGGTATTCCTGCTCACATACAGACCTGAGATGTGAAAAACAGGTAAGTCCTATGGAGAGGGGGATCTGACATTGGAGAAATAGCATCATTGTGTACGTACAAGGTCTATATCTAAATACACATTGTGATTAAATTTTAAACAATGAAGAAAGGGAGGCATCATTGCATACGTACAAGGTCTAGATTTAAACACACATTGTGATGAAATTTTAAAGAAAGAAGAAAGGAAGGCAGGAAACAAATGCATCTTACCATCAGTGCGAACCCTTGGTCTTAGAAGCCACATTTTTCTCCATGAAGTGTCGTAGTTTGCTTGTAAAATCTTAAAGTTTTCAACCACCCCAGAAAGCTTAAGAAAGAAGACCCAGTTTAAAATCCAACATATACATGGAGTAAAATTTAAACTACAAACTTTAAAGCCAACACCATTATACCTGCCAAGCCTTTAAGCAGGCACTGCGCCAAAACACAGGGTTACGGATAGTGTATCTCCATTTTCGACAAACACAAGTTGCCCTTCCCAAGTCATATGGGGTCATTCGTGCAAAAACCTGCACACAAATATTCTCACTTTTTAACCAAAATACGGAAAGTCAACATGTTACCACCCATGCTCAATCTCCTATTTCAGTTATACCCACAACTATGCAGAATGGTCACACTTCAGTCCCAAGAATTCATCCTTTAAAGTAAAACAAAGTAAAATAAAACCTATATCTAGGGGAAAAAGATAATTTGAAAAATTTATCAATCATCCTTAGAATAGTGAAGTTCAAATCACAGTTTCTTCGGTTATCTCCGAGGGATGTAAAAATTCTTACATCTTTTATAATACCATTAAATTTCAAACAAATACTCTATTTTCATCATTGCTAACTCTACCAATGTTTTTATATTAAGGACTTGATCAAAATTTTGACTAGCTATTTATCCACAGATGATACCTCAAACAGCAGCTCATCCGGCAAGCAACGGTGTAAAAGCGATGAATCAACTTGTACTTTTCTACTCGTACTTCCAATCGGTGCAACAGGTCTCACATTGATTCCATAAAGATCTGAATCAGAAAACCAGAGAATAACATAACTAAATTTATACTAAAACCGGGGCAGCATAAGCTGAAAGCGGCATGAAAGTAACGGACACAAGTATTTACCAAGCCACGGCCTCTTGGTTATGTAGTACTGAACCGCGTTCAACCGCAAAGCCGATTCGAGTTCAGCTGGAACCTTCAGGGCAAAATCTGCAACAGATAGCCATTCATTGATATCAGCTAAACCAGCTCAAATAACTGGGTCAAATCAAACTTTTCTTTACATGTCGAATTCAATATTCTGCAAACTTTAACCAAAATTTAACTCCGGAAACTCGTAAAGTCCTTTCATTTTCCAATTTCACAACCAGCTAATGAATTGTAAACGAATGCCAGCCCCAACTCGTCTTCGAAAATTCCGAAAACACACAGAGCACAATGCATATTCGAAAATTAATCACTACCCACGATGCGAAACCTCAAAATTTCTAAACTTTAACGAAAATGTTCAACATTTAAATCAGATTGCTCGCACAACTACACAAAAGCATATCATTTGCAGAAAACGGCGCGAAAATTAGACGGTTGAAGAATCCGATAGAAAGTGATAAAATTGAAGGTTCGAGAGATTAATACGATACCTGAAGCCATGCGAATGCTGGTTGGACAATCGTCGGAGGAAAAAATTGAAGCTTTTAGCAGTCGATTTTATAGGGAAATTGGGGGAAGAAGATGAAGGACAGACGAGGAAGATGGAGCGAGAGACATCGGCGATATACGACGACCGTTTTTTTAAACCGACTTTGGAAAATTTACCCGTCAACTAACCCGGCCCAGAATCCGGCCCAATGATGTGAATTCTGCCCAAATTGTGGGTGTTCATTCTTGAAGAGATGACTTGCCATAGCAAACTCATAATATTTGCTCATCATATTCCAAATAAAATCAAATTTAAGAACCATTTTACCCTGTTCATTAAGTTAATTAAATTTTGGTTTAAACTTAGGTAGTTGTTACCACAGCCCAATACTTTTATGTTAACGAATGATATGAGAAGGTGAATTTGAAATAGATTCTCAAGGATAAGAGTGTAAGATTTAAACCACTTCAGCTGCAAGCCCTTGCAAAAAATGCAACATACCTGTTAACATCCCAGAAGTCGAAGGAGATGTGCGATGTTTTGTGGGTTGACAGACCCCCATCCTCCTTGGTTCATGTATTATATAATGATGGTTTGCCATGTCCACATTAGGTAATCTGGGCTTTGTTGGGGGCGCCGGCGACGTCTTGGCAAGCGGTGCGACGTCTGTCTTTCTTGTAGCTCCCTGCAAGGCTTGTATCTTCTGTACTGCTTGGTGTTTACCTTGTTTAGGCTTAACCTTAGCTATGAATATCCAGTTTACCGAAAAAAAAAAAAAAAAAAAAACAAAGAAAACGATGATAGCGTACGAAGCTTAAGCTTATGGATGCTTGGTGCTGATGAAATGTATAAGCGAGCCCTTCAAACCCTTTGTAAACATCAAATATCTTGTTCAAGATTAAGGTATAGTCTCTTCACTTGTAAGTGTGAGATCTTAGGATCGATTCTTGCTAAAAGCGAATTCGAACCACATTATTGCTAATCCATTGCGAGACTAAACTCATTCCCACTTCCCTTAATGTTATATCATTTGTTCAAAAAAAGAAAAAGAAAAAAAGATTAAGGTATAGTGTGGTTGGACATAGCCTGGTTGAAAACCCGATTAAACTGCTTATGCAGTGGAACCTGAGTATCAAAAAAGTCCCATATAATGTAAGCATGCCAAAAAGATTGTATTCACCCATAAAAAAAAATACACACAAAACTTATCAAATACATGTATAACTAAAAGTGTTACCACTGCAATTACTTCATAGTGAACAAGAAATTCATTGTCACCCAAACATTCCCAAGACAATCCAAACATTCCCAGACAACAGCAACAAAAAGAAAGCACAAAGCTTTCAATTTGGGTTTGTTTGGGACTTATTTTGAAATGATTAAAAGGTTTTCTAAGAACCAAAATTCTGTATGACACTGAAATTTAAAAGTGTATATGAGTCACAAAAGCACCTTTTGATAATATGCACCCTTCACTTTCAAGTTATTTTAACTAAGCATATGAATTTTTAATTAAAAAAAATAGTAAAACCCTTTTAGCATAAGCACTTATGAGCAAAAGTGCTTCTACATCTACTTTGTTATAGTCAAGTTTGGTTCCAACATCTACTAAACTAGTTTAGTTTAACACATAAGAGGGAGGGTTGTTTTGTCCATTTTGTTTCACTTAGGTCACCTAATAAGTGGAGTGGAAAAAATCATAAGAGAAGCAAGGTCCACAGAAGGTTGGGAAGTAGTACGCCGTTTGCCTATATAAAGGGCATTACAACTTCATCCCTAATTAGGGTTTTCAACAGGCAAATGGCAGAAAACTCACTCTCATTTTCTCTCTAGACATCCGGCCACCATGGGAGGAATAGCTAGCAATCTTCTCTTCCTATGGTTACTCACCTCCTTCCTTAATCATCCTTGATGTCAAAACTTAGAGGCCCTCTTTAGGGGCTTTTGGAGAATCATTTTCTTCCATCCATATTTAAGATGACATGGAGCCAAGAAGCAAAGTTCCTCCATCCATATCCATGGAGCTAGTGAGCAAGGAGGCAAAGGAATGAAGGCCCTTTCATGGCGAATACCCTTTACTAAGCAAAGAGGTGATACAAAGGTATAAAGTTTCTGAACTCTCTTTGTGTTTAGAGTTGAATCTTGGTTCACCACCACTACTAGGCTTTGAATTTGATGGTTTAATTTTGTTATAGAGTGCATACAAGCATGCTTCCCCCATTTAATTCTTAAATGCATGTATTATGTTGCTTAATAAACTTAGTTTATCAAATATTTTCCTTCATATAGGCCAAAGGCTCTCTGATGTGAAGTTAGTAAGCAATTTATGAGACTTAAGTAGTGGGCAAGAGAATAAAGTACACGATAATTATGTTACTCGAGATGAACCTTAGAAGAGTGTCTTTATACTGGTTGAGAAAGATCCTTTTAGGATATAGAATCTATATTAAACTAGGAGAATCCCAGAGAATATCTAGGAGTAGATATTGCTTCCCTTTGGAGTGTGATTACTTGTGGCCCACATTAATCCTTAGATTGTAGGAATCTCCAAGAATATAGGAAACTTATATGATCCTCTATCGGATTAGGTTTCCGCATCTTACAGAACAAGAATGGTCAATCTCAGTGAAGTAAGCAGACTTCGCCTACCTACTTGGAACACATAATGATGGTGGCATTGTTGGTCCATTTGTGTAACTCAATCTAATAGGAGCTATTGAGTCTATGACCAGGCTTCTGAGGTATTCGCATCACTATCCATCTTACTCTAGTATTGGAAAATTATGGTCCCATAATAGATTAATTAAATACACTTGATGATGGATAGTTGTCTAAAGACCATGCACTTCTGAGTAAATCAGAATATAGACCGTTTTGAATTCTGCTAACATGTGGCAATTCAACTTGTAACCTTGCAAGGTAATTGAGACATTCCAGATTCAGACGTGTGACCTCAAAAGTTATGGTGTGAAAACAACAATGATGAAGGGTGTCATGTTGTGTATGCATGATAAACAAGAGATGACTCTTTATTAATACTGAGTGGCTATGGCCTTCGAACACACAAATCTCGAGGTATGGTGCTTCGAAGTCAACGCTGAGATTACTCATAAATTCTTCTATAAGTAAGCATATGTTTTCTTCCCCTTCTACTAACTCTTCTTTTCCATATTTCAGATCAAAACATGGTTCTACTCAATATCGTTGATACTACACTGCTTGAACCCATTCCTAATTTTGAGCTATGATAAAGATGAGCTACTACTTTTCAAAAGTGAATTCCTTTCCCTTATTAGGTTTTTGATCCTTAGTCTTCATACAAAGATTTATAGTCAAAAGCAACATCCTCATCCCAGTCTTCGCATGCGAGTTTCACTTGAGTAGAGTGTTGAAATTCTTGAGCAGGTTCTTCTTCATTGGAGCCATTTTAGTTGTGAAATCTAATGAACAAATTATATTTCTCACAAGTGCACGAATCAATATGATAATATAACAAGCAAATACGAGTGTCGTACCCATAGAGATTTGTAAAGTCACCTAATTAAGTCCAATTATACAGTACCCACAAAAATAAAATTAACAAAAACAACAAAACTACGAAATTTAAATGATTAACCAAAGAGAAGTTGATTTAAGATCAAGTATTCTAAAGTGCAGTAAATTAAAAAGAAAATTTGTGTAAATAATTTCTGAAAACAATGGTTGAAACACTAGGTATCCGACTTCACTAGGCTACACCAGATCCCTAGTAAAGAATTTAGTTACTCATAGCCATCAAATTACAGAAAGTCATAGTTATGAAAATCATAAGTACAAAGTCTGAAAAAGATATTGAAAAGCCCATAGAGAACCCCTTGGCGTTTGGCTTCCTCCTTAGGTCAATCATTTAAAACGATCTGATGAAGTGAGTTCCCTTTTCTACAATGTTGCTTCTCGCACTAAACATGTATAATTTCCTCTAGAAGCATCAGAATCATGATCTGTAAAATTCTGCTGAAACTAGACATCCTGAGCTTTCCGTACGTATGTGGCAAAACACCCAGTTCGTCCTGATGAATTTATGACCACCCAATGAAAATGACAGTTCTGCGTAGCACCTTCCTGCTTCAGTTATAATTTCCAAACAACAGCCATTAAATTGCGGATTGAACAAATTAGCATGATGATCATTGGAATACTTCTTGACTTCAATTCTTCCCATCTTTGATCCATTTTAGCCTTAAAATCACCAAAAGATTCCAAAGTCTTCTCTACGGTCCATTATCTACAAAATACGCACTAGACACATCATACAACCAATTTCACAAGAAAACATAGCATAAACCTTAGGAAATAAGGGCAATATAAATGTATAAATATTGTGTTATCAAATACCCCCAAACCTATCTTTTGCTAGACCTCGAGCAAAATTAAAGCATAACACAACTAAAAACTTAAAAAAATAAAAAGAAGTTAATCTGAGCCACTTTTGTAGGAAATCACGATGGTACTCATGCCACAAGCCTTTAAACCCCTAGGTGTCCCTAGTTGGAGGAGTTGTGTCCCCTGAGGGTTTACTAGTTACGTTACCCACAAACGTTTTACTACAAAACAAAGTTGTTAAAGACATCAGTTCCATAAATTAATGAAAACCAAAATTTGCGAATCACACTTCCAAAACTAAATTTATGCCTTTAAAAGCTAGTGCACCACATGAAAAAAATATGTAGCCGACATCTTAAGGACTTGAGCTTAATGAATCCACACTTGGTGTATGTACAAATTTGCCTTGACTCTAATTCTCACTTGGATATGTCTCAATTTTCTCTTGGCTTTCACTCTTAACATGCATATGTAATGAAGTTATGTAAGGGGAATAAATATAATCACATATGAGTAATATTAAGAAGAACGGCAACTTCTGAAAATAGATCTCATGAAAGGAATCAAATACTAAGAACATAGATATTTATCTTCACCATTAAGCAAGGCTTCCCCATAAATCCATTAGGTTTTTACTATGGTAGTAATTAGGCCTGGCAAACGGGTCGTGTCTGTCGTGTTCGTGTCGTTTTTGTGTAACACTTGTTATCTTAACGGGTCATGTTGTGTCACACCTGTTATCTTAATGGGTCGGGTCACTTTCCCCAACGGGTAAAGTGACCCGACCCA